GTTAAAAGAAACTGCAGAATGGCATAATCTTTATTTGAACAAAAATTTTTCTTGCTAAAAAACGTATGCAATTTTAGTTTTATTAAAAAATTTTGTATGTAATATTGCATAACTTTTGGAGGAAAAATTAGGAATAAAAATGTTTTAAAATTATTGGGCAAAATTTCTTTGAAGTAGATACATGTTTATAAAATTGTAGCAACATGTGTGGAATGTAAATATATTCACAATCCATGCGAATACTTGAACGATCATATTAATGGATTACATACATACGTACTTATTGAAAGAAATGTGTGGATTTTAGTTATCTTAATATCTTAAAAAACAATTAGCGAAATATATATAAAGCACATTCGATAACTGAAACTTTATGTTCTATAAATTTAAATTACAAAAAGAAAGCTGAAAAATTGCAGTTACGCTTAAAATTCAAAAGCTTTTTTATAAAAGCTGCATTTAGAAAAAGATCCATAATGACATGCAACCATATTCGTTTCTCTGACACATCAACTGATGCGATGGAATATTATTCAAATATTTTTTAATTTTCTGAATAAAAACAATTTAGAAATTTGAAATTCTGTACTAAAAACCTCAGTTTTTTTAATAATATCTAATGACGTCGTCAACTGGGATGTAGATGATAAAATAGAAAAATGACGAATATCAAGAACATTACAAATCTCCCAAAGTATGTTTAGACTTTTCAATGCTTGCACATTTGCATTCTGAAATAATGCAAAAAAACTCGATCGTTTTGAAAAATTTACAATCAATCGACATATCAATAGATCACATTGACAATAGTTTATTCAACAATACGTAATTGTAAAAATTATGCCAACATATTATACATAATATGTTGGACCGAACCATTTTTTTGAACTCGTTTATCTTAAATTAGAAAGGTTAAAGATAAAAAATATTTATATTTATTGAAATTGGTAGCTCAGGGATAGCTCAATGGTAACTCAATAGTTGGGTGGTAGCTTCATAACTCAACGAGAGAGATTTAGACTCCAGTTTGGATTTTTTTTTCTTTTATGTATATATAGATACATATACATATTTTTACAGTTTTTCAAGTCTATTAAATACAAAAATAAAGTTTAACAAAAAAAAGCAATTATATAATTATCATGTTTTTAAATAGTTAATTTCTAACTGACTTGAAATGTCGAAAGAGTAACATAAAACAAAATTTTAATATTATTGTTAAGTAATGGTAAATTTTGCAGCCAGTAGAATCGCCTCAAGTTTTAATAATTGTCATTTTTTTAAGCGTTTAGTCACAGTTTTGTAGCGTTTTAAGATTTTAAAATAAAAAATTTTTAAATTAAACATCAAATTTTTTTTCTTTAATTTATTTAATTTTTTTCTCTTGATTTATGCAAAAAAATAATATTTTTTAATATTATAATTTTTGAGATTTTTGTATTATATAGATTTTTAAATTATTTTTAAAATTTATATTGGTAATTTGTTTAAGATAATTTTATATGTTAAGTTTATTTATATTCATATTTATATAGTGTACATTATACAAATATTTTATTAATAAAAATTAAAATTTAAAATCTTTAGAATAGTTTTGTTTATTTTGTTATTTCGAATTTGTTTTATATTTTTTGTATTAATTAATTTATAAACGTTTGTGTGTGTTTCTGATTTTTAAATAATTAAAATTAAATTAAATTAAACTAAACTATTTTAAATATAATATGATAATAGAAAATATAACTACACATATAATAATATAAATAAATGTAATAGAATACTAATATAATAAAAAAGAAACTACTAATAATTAATTAAATTAGTATAATTAAGAAAACAAAAACTTATTCAATTTGAGTTTTGGAAGAGAACACTGTAGAAGTTTTTTTTTTCAAATAAATTCAAAATTAATTTAAAAAATTTCATTTAATTAATTATATTGTAAAAGTTCAAATTTAATTTTTTTATATTTCAAATTTTAATCAAAATTTAAAAGAAAATTTATTTTCATTTTTTTTGATTTAATTTTTAAAGAATTTAAGCAGTAATCATTCTTTACCAAAAATTTTAAATTAAGTACTCGTTTTAAAGAATGAAATTAATAATTTATAAAATAGAATATTTTAATTTGTATAGTCAATTAAGTTGACTAACTTTAGACAATTTCTTTTTTTTTCTTTAAAAAGAACATTGTAATTAATTTGAGAGAACTCAAAATATAATTTTTATTGTTTTTTTTTTTTTTTTCATAATTCATTGTTTTTTTAAGTAGTTTTGAACAAAGTTTTTTCTTAAAATAAAAATATTTTCATTATGATAGAAAGTTTTATATGTATATCAACAAAATTTTAATTGGATCTAATATTTATATAAATTATTCAGTTTTCTACAAATTAACATAATTTTATTCATTTCGTCTTTTAAATTTTTTTCTTTAATATTAATTCATTTTATTTTTTTTTTTATTTTCAAAACAAAGAATCCTATACATTCTAGCTTATTAATTTTATAATTAATTTTTATAATTAATATATTCTAAATTTATTTTTATTATATAAATCTAAACAATATAATATAATATTTATTTTAAATTCTATATTTAAATTATTTCTTATTTAAGAGTTAATCCAACACCGAGATTGCACTGTAAACCCGATTTTAATTTAATTTCATTTTCTTATTTTATATTTAAGTAAACATTTAGTTTAATTGTTTCTTAATAAGTAAGATATTTATTATTATAAATATATATATATTTATATAAGTATATATAAAATTATATCGATGTATTGAATCTTTGATCGTTTAATAAATTAATGTAATTAATAATAATTCTTAAAAAAAAATATTTAATAAAGTATTCCATTAATTTTATTTTTTTTTTTCCTCTAGCGCAAAATTCAAATTTTCTACTTTTTAAAGTTAATTTTGTTTATATACTAATCACAATAATTTATTATAGAAAATTAAGGCAGTCATCATTATTTATAGTACATATATCAATATTTTAAATTTTATTGTCATATTCAATATTTTTTATCATGATCCTTTTGAAAGATTACTAAAATAAATACAGAAAAGTTTAAATTTTTTAGTTTCAATTTTTTAATTTAAAAGTTTACGTGAAAACAGTAAGCATTATGTGTTATATAATATGGGTAATATTGAAAATACATTTTAAAAAACATTTTTTCCAACTGAAATATGATGTATAAATTTAATTACATATATATATACTCGATTTAATTTAATAAAAACTGTAACCGGAAACTTTATTTGCAAAACTATTTAATTAAATTTGCGCGAAAATTTTACATTTTACACTTAAATTATTCACACAAATGTATTCGTCAACATTTCATATCAGGTTGCTTTTTAACTTAATTTGCGAACAATTTTCCGATAGAATTCTTATTAATATTAAAGAAATTTCCTTTAATTACAGAATTAAAAATCACTTTATATTAAAAATTTTTCAAAAAATCTTATTTTACACCATTTTAAATATTAACATAATTTCCGCATGAAGAACTTTTTCTTAAAAAACCCAAAGAATTTTAGATTTTGACGATATTTAAAATTTAATGAAACTAATTTTTAAACAGAAACAGATCAATTTTTTTTTATTGAACATTTTTTTAAATTTAATTTATGTAACTTTACATTTAAAAAAAAAAAAACATATTCAATTCAGGTAATTTTACTCTACATTTCAATGTATAATATAATACTTAATTTCAATTAGTAAATTATTTTATAACATCTAGTTGTTAAAAAAAAGTTAACATAAGATTTTACATAGCTTTTTTCTCCTTTAACATAATAAAAATTTACAAGGGGTTTATATTTAAAAGAAAAAAAATCTTTTTAAAACAGAACTTTCATACGCGATTTGTAATTTTTAGTTTTTAAAAATTATTGAATAAAATTTAACATGTTTCAACTTTTTATAAAATTTCAAATTTCGTATAATTCGTAGTTAATATCTTAATATTAGCTTTAAAAAAATTTCTAATTCCAATTATTCTAAAAAGATTTTGTTTGTTCCTTTTGCATAAAAATTAGATGCGTTTTTTTAAATTAAAAAATTAAAAATTCAATTATAAAAAAGAAAAATGTTTGGATTTAATATGAATTACACATTCACAATTAATTTCCAAAAACCATGTTAAGTAAAAATCATCAATTTCTTAAAGAAAGCAAAAAAGTAATTTTGAATAGTAGATCTATAATAGAATTTTTGCTTAAATAAAAATAAAATTAAAATAACTGTGTAATAAGATTAAAAATACAACAATTAAATTAAATTTGTGCTTACAAACTTTAAATTAGTCAATTTTGTTTTCAGTTCCTCTAGACTTTTTTTAAACAATTCTTTCATTGGAAAAAATTAATTTTAAAATTTGAAAAAAATTTGAGGAATTTTTGTAATCTCGAAAAAACAATTAATTCTAAGTTTTTAACTGTGTTCAAATATTTGCATGTCTTTAAAATATTTTTATATTATTTTCCAAATTATGATAAAACTAAATAAAAATTTAACAATAATTTTTTTGTTTTATAGAAAATTTAAAAAAAAAAAGCATTACACACAGAAAAATAAAAGAATTCATTAAATATATATTTTTTTTGTAAATTTCATTTTTCTTTTGTTTGTTTTTAGGGATACATTATAGTTTTCAATATTTACGAATTTATATTTAAATATTTATATTGTGTTAACATATCTCTGTTCATATTTCATTTAATTTTTGTGTTGAAGGTTTTGAATATTATACCTTCAAAACGAATTAAAACTATAAAAATAATAAATCATCTTTTAAAGATGACTAAAAATAAAATTAATTACATAAAAAAACATTAAAATTTTTAAATCAAAAGTAAATTCTCGAAATAAAATTTGGAAAAAAAACTTTTAACTACTTTTTTTTTTAATTTCATTTAAATATGTATGTATTTTTAAGTATTCAACTTATTAAATATTTTAATAAGCTCTTACATATTACATTTTCATTAATGTTTAAAAATAAACAAAAATAATATACTTTAACTTATTTATTAAAAAAAAATTTGTATTTTTAATTGCGAACAGACATTGGTAATTGCCCCAATAAATTATTTGCGAATTGTGAATTTGTAAATTTAAAATGTCTTTTGTCGTAAAATTTCAGTAAAGCTGGAGAATACGGATGTAATTCTTTTAAATGAATATAATGTACTTCAGGTTCACTGGTTGTGTGGCCACATTCTTCGCATACATACATCTGCAAAGATAAATATTTTTTTTTATATTTTAATTCTTAATTCCATTCAAGTAAAGATTAAGTTATTTATTTTTATATTAGAAAAAGTCTTTTCACCTTTGTTCTTCTTTCTTTGTATCCATATTGATGTTGTACCCCATGTACTTTTAAACAATGTGATTCTAATGAACAACGTTGTGTAAATGATTTTTCACATAAATTGCACTTATATGGTCGAACTCCTGTATGTGTTCTAGTATGACGTTTTAAATCAAATGTATCATTGAATCCTTTACCGCAAAACGTACATAAATAACGTTTAATGTCTGAGTGACATTTCATATGCCGATTTAACAGTCTCTGTAAATTAAATGTTTTTGAACATATACGACACACAAACTTATTTGGATCATCTTCGCAAGCAATTACACTTTTTTTATCATCATCACGTAATCTATGGCCGTGAATATTTTCGATTGCCAACGGATTTTTAATGCCATGACCACCATTAACAAATTCTAATTGCACTTCTGGCGCAAGCCCCAGCTGTAAATAATATTACATAAATATATTAAATGCACTATATCTATTATTAAACTTTATATTCTGTTAGTTAAATTAAAAAAATTTTTATTGATTGAATTGAAAACTTAACAAGAAAACAAAAAACAAGACAAGACAAAAATTTTTAACAGATATTAATTGATGCTATTAACATAAAGTACGATGTTAAATAAAAAATAGTGTGTTATTCTTCTAATATATTATAATTTGATCTACAATTTTTTAAACCATATGAAATTCTTCCAAAAATTTGGAATTTTTTTATAATTCAATTCTTATTATAATTAAACATTAATTTAACCCCATTCAAAGTAAACAAACAAATCGGACGAAGTATACAAAAATAACCGTTTGTTACTTAAATATTATCATCTTACCCTTTGTTTCAGCATTTGCAATTTTGTGTCTTGTAACATTGGAGTAAGTGTTGATATTATTGAACGATTTTTAGTTCGATTTTTGTTCAATGACTGTTTAGTTTTCTTATTGCTAGTATGTATATTTGGGCAATTTTGCATAATTTTTAAATCGAATTCATCGACAATATCGATAAAGCCGTCGTTATTAATTGAGCAAGGATTTAAAATATTGGTATTATTACTTATATCATTTTGTATTTCAAAACCATTATTGATTAAAATTTGTGCGTTTGTAAAATTATTTAAACCATTATTTTGGATTATACCATTATCTGTTAGTATAATTGTCTTATAGCTAGTCGGACAAGAGAAAGAAGTAACTGAATCTGAAGAACTATTAGAAATATAACTTACACTTTGTATAATTGGCTTAGCTTCTGGAGGAATATCTAATTGATTATGTAGGTGACTGCTACTGCTACCGCCTGGTGACGGTAATGATAAGTTGCTATTATCACTACAATTTAAATTGCTATGAAATTGAGCAACAGTCATCATTGCTGTATTTAACATTAAAGGATGAGGTGGTGCGGGTGTATGCGACGAGTGATGATTGTGAGAATGTCCATTACTATTACTATGATTTTGGTTTGAATGATGATGGTTATTACCACCATGCAACATTGTATTATGTTGCGAGAAATTATGGTTATTATTGCCATTATTATTATTATTATTATTATTGCTGTTACTGTTACTGTTGCTGGAAGGGCCATGACCAGTTTGATGTTGCGGTTGTTGATGTTGGTGTTGTAGTTGATGTAATTGCATCATTTCTCGATTTTGCTGATATCCTGGAGGGGGTGGTGACTCTTGATACATTTTATTATTGTTACCATTAGGTAAATTATATCGCAAATGATTATGATTCGGTTGTTCATAACAATGACGATTACTGTTTTGTAACTGCTGTATCAAGTTCTCTGAAAAATTTTCATAGCCGCTAGATGTATCTACAGGTGTAATGGAAACAGAATCAGGCGTAAGAGAAGGAGTTGACGTCAAATCTAAGTCATGATTTCCAGGTGAAGGAGTACTACCATCACTTGGTAACCTGTTTAAAAATGAACTTAAATCTACTGGATCCGATAAACTTTCTAAAAGAGCGTTTTCTGAAGCACCCGAAAATGTTAAAGTTGCAGTAAACTGTAAGGGATCAACACCATTAGCTGCTAAATCGGCCATTATTGAGTCGTTGCACATATCATAATTGTTATAAGCGCTCGACAAGAGGTTTGCGCTCAGACTTGACATATCTAATTTTCCCTCGTAATCTAAGTCTAACTCATCTTTAACTACAATTCCATATGCCGAATTGTTACTCATTAGCGGAAATTTCGAGTTTTCATTATTTGTAAAATTATTTATACCGCCATTCGACTCACCATTCGTGTCACCGCAATCAGACTGACCATTCGGATTTGTCATTGATAAATAAGAATTTGCACCACCGTTCGCCATTGAAGCTATCAAAAAATTACTACTTGCTGCATTAAATTGTCCTAAAGAACTACCATTACCAGACTTTAAGCTCTCGTAAAATGGAGGTAATGACCCTGTTGGGGGACTATTTGGACCATAATTCGAACGTCCATCTCGTCCACCACCCATTCCGCCGCCTCCAGCTCCACTTCCACTTAAACCACCACCTGAACCCCCTGTAGCACCACCACCTAATTGCCCATTGAAATTTATACCCTGACCGCAATTGCCACCAGATCCACTATTGGATTGCGATCCAGACTGTGACCCATTTGCACTATTTGTTGAACTTCTACCATGTCCAGCAGCGGCTGACATTATACCATTAGTTTTGTTGTAACTTGGTAATTGACGTAAACGATGGAAATATTGTGCTTTTAAAGCTGCTAAAATTCGACGTCTTGCAATATGATGTTTTCTTGCACGTTCAGCTAATTCGTCTTCACTTGATATTTTTTGTGTGTCTGATGATGTTGGTTTTGATTGACTTGGCGGAGGGCTTGGTTGTTTGCGTTTTGGAACTGCGTAATTAATTGGTTGATCCTGTTCTGGTCCTAGTAAATGAGATGCACTTAACGGCAGTGTTAAATGATTATCTTCTTTCCCTGCCAAAAAAAAATTTTTATTACTTCAACATTGAAAAATTAAAACGTTAAACTTACCTTTTCCCAAAACTCCTGGAGCCAGGATTGACTTTGGTGTTCTCTGAATTACCGAACAACGTACTGCTGGCTCCGGAGGTGGAGGTGGACTTGGTCTCTTATCAGCTGGTGGTGGAGCTGAAGGACTTAAGCTCTTTACTCTTAATGGTCTCTCTAAATCTAATGGAATAACAGGTTTCTCTTCAACAATTATAGGTCTTTGTGGTGGTTTAGTCTTTCCTTCTCTTAATATGTTTGATGAAGTCCGCTTTTCAATGAAAATATTTCGTGGATTTATTGGCGGTGGTGGATATTCTTTACGCTGCCCCAAAGTTAAAACTGGACGTGGAATAATTTTATTGCAAGTCAAACTATTTTTCCCATCGTAAGGTACTTCACCACCAAGAATTGATGATACAAATCGACGACCACTTGGAGGCTTCACTGGAGATGCGTCTTCAATTTTTGAACACTTAAATTTAACCGTCAAATCTGTAGAACTGATGGGACTATTTGACCGCTCCTCCGATTCTATTTTGTCCGTGATTTTTTCTGATGTTGATGAAGAAGAGTCACCGACAGAAAATGGAGATTTTCTTTCCTCAACTGAAGTTCTAAGAGTCGTTGAACCCAAACGTTTATCAAAATTTCCTTGAACTGTCAAAAAAAAAAAGGAGAATTTCAATTATAGTTTCAAACAGAAAATTTTTTTTAATTTTGAATGTATTTGAAAAAATGCGTGGCGTACTTCGACAATTTTTTTTTTTAAAATGGCCCCCTATATATCAAAGTAGTTTTAATGCATTCCAGATGCACAATGCAAAATTTTAATATTACGCAATATTTTACTATTTATACTGTTAGTAAAATATAAAACTGTTAAAATATAATTAAAAACGCAATAAAAAATTTAATTATAAAAATTTTTAATCTTAAGCCAATTAAATATGAACGAAGCCCAGCTTCCTTTCTGCAATAAGTTTTAAATGTAATACATGTCACTAAAAGCTTTCTGTTTTCGCGGTAACTTTTATAGAACAAATTAGGTATGGCCAGCTTTTGTAAAAGCCCAACTAGACTGAATGTAAATTTTTGTGTCAAAAGCAGTTGTAGCATGTCACGTTTTATTGACGGCAAATCAAATATTTTTTGTGCGTAAACTTCAATTTTTAAATTACACGGGCAATTGAAACCAAAAGAACTAAATAGAGAATAACAAATAACGTAAATACGAAAATAGGCATCGAATTTTTCGTAAATATCTTAACAATAACAGTGAATGTAAAAGTGCTACTGTCGTTCGAGTGTATTATAAAAAGCGTCGCAAAATTATTCTTTTTGTCAAATTTTCCGGATTCGGCTACTATAGTGTTAATAAAAAAAGTTTGAAATTGTTACCCAGCATTTACACGTACAAGTTACTTGCAAGAAAGTTGCAATACATACAAAAATTTTACTAACACATTGAAATATTTCTACTTGCTTGTTTACTTGCAGTTCAACTTGCAAGAAAATTTTGCTGCCAGTAATTTGAGCAAGTAATTTGACATATTGAGAAATTCACAAAAAAAAATTTGTTGTTTTGATTTTTTTTTTTTTAATTTAAAATTTTTGAATTTTGTTTTGAAAAAATTAAACTTAGCAAACTTATGGTTTCTAAAATTTATAAACAATTATATATATTGCTAGTTGTTTTCTTCTCAAAGACATTTTCAAAAATTAACTTGCTAAACGCCTACGTCATAATAGCAAGTAATTTGACATTTCGAAAAACTAATTGACAATTAATATTATACAAACTTGCTTGCAAGTAACTTGTATGTGTAAATGCTGGGTTATATTATTATTTTTACTAAACTTTTTTTGACGTTTCTTATTATTGCTTAAAAATATTATTTCCATTCAATTTACCATTAATTTAACCTCTTGCGATTTCAAGTATATTGATAGTTTTTTTAAGAAATTCTATTTACATACATTGTAAAAAAACAATGTAATTTATGAATACAATTGCACAAAATACATATTTTGTTGTTCTCTTTCATGTCATCCCTTTGCTAATTTTATTTTGCAAATTGATAGAATTATTTAGAAAAGAAGTTTAATGACTTGAAATAAGTAAGGGAAATAAACTTCGTTTAATTTTCAAATATAAAATTATATATTCATAAATATGTGTGTGACTTTTTTGGTAAAATTTATAATTGCAATTGCAGATGTTTATAGTACAAAGCAACAATATTTTTAAAACATGTGTAATGTCAAGGATAATAAAACATTTTTTCGTAATAGAACCGTAAAATATTTTATTCTTGTCGGTATTTTTTCTTTTCTTTTAGCATGAACGTATGTGTATTATTTCTGCTTTTACGTAAGGTCAATAAACCGGCCATCTTCCGCAATTGTTAAATTTACTTAATTTTTTTTTGAGGTTATTAACATTTATTTTAAAGTAAGAAATGCTCGTGCTATATACCTGAGTATGTTAGTTTCTTATAAACATTTTGTTTTCAAATCTTATAATTATTTGGAAAAAAATTGCAAATTACCAAAAAATGCTGCTAAACTCATACCATATGTTTTTTTTTAATAAATAACTGTATACATACATGTATAATACAAACTATATTTTGCAAACGTACTGTAAGCAACGTGAAAATGAAAATTGAATGTAAAGAAGCAAATTCGGGAGTTCAATGAATTGCAATTGAAATAAGTGTAGGTGCATGAATATATAAAATACACGCTTATGTAATTACATGCACATAGATATAACATAAAATAAATTATTATACAACTTGCAAGAATATTGATAAATTTATTTCCGCAATATGTTATTGGTTTTTATTTTCTAATCAGTTTTGTTCTAATTTTATAATCGCTTTATAGTGTAAAATTATTATAATGGCGATCAATTTATTAATTTTTTAAGAAAATAATAATTATGCTCTTGTACTTAAAAAATAAAATTTTCTATACAATTTAAATATAATTGGTAGTACAATTGTATAATGTTAGTTTAGTCCTAGAAGGAAGATTTATGCGTGTGAACTTTACGCGTCTCTAAAGTTTAATATAAATTGTTTTGATTTAAACATTCTATTGTTTGTCAGTTTAACGTTTAAAAAAACATTTAACAAGGCAGTTATTATTTCTTTGCTTTTAAAAGCATTAAATGACATTTTTGAGAACGAAACAAGTTTGTTATGATAATATTTTGAGAATTTTTATTAATCTATGTACTTTTAATAAGCTTGCTTAATAACTGACAAACATTATCTAAGAAGCATTTAATTCCTCAAAATTAAATTTTTTACACACGTAAAACCCGTAATGTCATTTATGTTATGCAAAAATGTTAGTTAAAACAGGTTTGTCGAAAGGTCACGCTTTGCAGATTCGTTTTGAATTAAGTCTGACTTAAATTGAGCCAACTAAATTGGCTAGTCTTATTTAATGTCATTTTATGGGTATTGTTAGTAAAAAAAGTTATGCATTTTAATATACAACCAACGTGTTGCCTATAATGACATCCAATGAAAGTCAAGTGCTAGGAAATTAGGAAAAAAAGTAAACTTTTAATTAATTCTATTTCATCATGTCAAAGTTCAAAGCATAAAAGCATATGTATGTGTATGTACATGAATTTTAATAAAATTGTCAATAATGGGGAAAGAAAAATAATATCGGAAAACAAAAATGAGTTAAAATAAAAATATGTTAATGCTAAAAAAAGAAAATGATATTAAAAGGAAAAAACTATTCAAAATTGTTTATACATTCTAGCAACGATGTACAAATGAAAAAAAAAGCTTTGACGTAAATTTTTAACGTAAATGTACTTTTTAATGCAAATCAACATTGCATGTTTTAAAACATAATTTTAATTACAAAAAAAATTATTTTATTTTTTATTCTCATATCACTTTATCCTTTGCTGACTTAATATTTGAAAATAAATTGATGAATTGCATACATAATATTGACTTTTAATTTATTCCTATTGAATTAAAATTAGATAAATTTTCCAGTATGATAAATTAAAAATATTGTACGTAATAATTTTCATGATTCAAGATCAAGGTGTTGTTAAAAAATACAAGTAAATATGTATACTATATATCGAATGGTATGGAATTAAAATCTATAAAAGTTTAATGAAACGAATAAAATTAAATTTATTATTGGAATTGTATAAATAATTTGAATAATTACTTTCTATAATTATTATAGAAATACTTCGTAATTACTATTGTTCAAGAAAAAGCATGAAATAATTTTGTTACAATTAAAGGTTTAAAAAAATGTATAATGAAAGTAATAATTGAAAGCATACAACTCTTGTATTTCATACATGTTTTCATTTGACTTTTTCAATTGAAAACTTCGTAACTAAGCGTTTTGCATATTTCTTTAATTATATTTGAAAAGAAATTTGTTTATCAATAAATTTTAATGCGAAATAGACTAGGATGTGTTTGTCAAAAAAAAAAAATAGTTTCCATATTTGCCAAAATGCTACAACTGCATTGTACTGTGTTCTAATTTTTATTTTGGAACGTAAATAATATATAGAGACAAAATTAAATTTCAGTATGACTGGATTTCGATTGAGATTCTGCAGCGAGTTCTTAGGACCACATAAAACTATAACCACATTTGACGAAATTTTAGGTGAGTTCAGTAAAATTAATTGATTTGATGTGTTACACTATTAATAAAGGGCTATTCTAAAAAATCCATATATTATCGCATAACTGCCACACATAAGAATTTTCAATATTAAAGGCGCGTTCTTGCAGCAAAATATAATCTTTAATTCGACTTATCGTTTTTGACATATTATACGAAATAATGTCATCGCGTAAGTCGAACGATATGTAAACGCATATTTAAAAACTAACCAGATTTTGAGAAATGTCAATAGATTTAAATTAAGTAATCAGTAATTTAGTAAAACTAGTATTGTACGCTTGTTAAAATTTGGTGTTAAGAACATAATTACGTATAATAATTATGTATGTTATTTGAAAAGATTTTTAAAAATTTATTTTAATATTTTAAATACGATCTAATATTTTTTATTCTTGTAGGTATGTGTTCAAAAATGCTTAAAAATATGTGTGCCTATGTGTGTACCTAGCTATCTACTTATAATTACAAAGATTTTTTATTCTTATTCCTTTGGAAAAATAGTAAAATCCTGTTATACAAAATTATATACATAATTAAAATATATTATATAAATTTGTTATACAACTAACAAGTGTATTGGTAAGTAGTTCATTTTCTTATCAATTAAAGTAGGTCGTTACGATCTGATAAAAACATTGTTTTGCATTTAATGTTAAATTACATTATGTACATATATTTATAAATTGTAATTTAAAATGCCAATATGTAAATAGAAATGTTTTTGTACTCAAAAATAGCGTAAAATGGATTTAATTTGCTAATTAAAATTTTTATAAAAGAGACAATTTTTTGTCTCCAATTTTATGATTATTTTTTTTTATTGAAAATACGTACATATAATACATGCCAGGTCATTTTATATGCGTAACTTTTGGGGTAGATCTGCCATATGCATACATATACATATATGTAGAAAAATTTTGCGATTATCTAATTGGATTTCCATTTATCGTGTTAT